CCTGCTGAAAGATACATGTTAGGCCGTGTAGGTCCCAAAGAACATCATTCCTATCGCTGCATTGTTCGATACGGATATCGCGATGTGCACCAGGACGTGAACTCTTTCGAGACCGAACTTGTTGCCAGTCTTTCCGAGTTTATAACGACGGAAGCTAAGTATGACACAGGCTGCGGAAGACAGTCAATGGATGAAGGTGATAGAAGACTCACTGTTATAGGAAGAACATGTACCAATGAGATAGAGGAATCCTTCGGCTTTGGGAGTGTGTCTATGGAGTTTTCAAGTAGGGAGGACAATGCAGAGGTAAGATCAGCAGTAGTAGGAAAAAAGGTGAGATTCCTGATTGAGGAGGGAAGCAGTTCGAATTTGGTTAATTCGGCCAGGGAAGAGCTTGAAGATCTGTATGAGGCATGTGAGGCTGGCACTGCATTCATTTTGGGTCATTCACACGTGAAGACAAAGCCAGGTTCTCACATATTGAAGAAGTTGGCCATAGATATCGGCTACAACTTCCTGAAGAGGAACTGCCGTGGCCCTGAAGTTGCTCTCCGTGTGCCTCCGGCTTCGCTGCTTGAAGTTGGCATGGTGTATGTGCTTTGATGTTTAGGACTGTAAGTCATTCATTCTGTCTAAATGGTGGCTTCTAACTTGTAATTGTCCGCAAGAAGCCTAATTGGAAAGGCAGAGGCTGCAGTTCGACCTTGATATTGTATATTTGCTAGAGCGGGACATCTTGATTCATCAGTTTGTTTCTGATTGGTGAGAAGTGATCCCAGGTGAACGTCGTTCCCTCTCATTCTCCATCCATTGATGTACACAATGTCTGTTTTTCAGACATCAAAAAATTATGATTCTTACTATAATTGTACACGTTTGGGTCAGAGTTTTTTTTTTTTTTTTTTATATTTTATTTTATTTTTTTTTGGGAATAACGAGGGGTAAGTTGCAAAATATGACATTTGAATTCGTGATTTTTTGTTTCTACTTTTTCATTTAATTAATTAGTGAAGGTCTTTTCGCCATAGAGTACCGTTTAATCTCAAATTTCTATGGTTTGATCAGCATGAATTTCAACACACATTTAGACCAGAAGTTTCAAAATTAAAATTTGAAAATACCTACACTAATTTATGATCAAGTGAAGCGTTTCATTCAAACAAACCAATGATATAAAAATGGTTTGATCTTAGTCCAGGACAGCTCATAAGGTCATAGTCAAATTGATCATCTCGATGAGACGAATCTAACGACTCAAACTATTTGATTTTGACATCATTATGACAATTAAATATTTATAAAATATCATATGATAAAAAAAGGATATTGTCGTTGGGCCACCGCCAATGTCAAACCACTGTTGCCAATACCACCAACATCTCCACCACAATATCACAACTGTCTAGCCTCCGCTACTGTCGAACCACTATTTTTTGGCCACCGTTATCAGGTTGTCAACATGCATGCTGTCATCACATGATCATCATCGCTATTATGTCACACTGTTGCTATAGTCAGATTGACATCAACACACTAAAATAACTTTGTTAGGCCATCATTATTGCTTGATCGACATTACAACTTTCACTATAACATTAATGCTCGACCATCACTTCTATCACCGCACCCCATCATCATTAAACTACCATCGTTTGACTGACACCTCTAGACCTCTACTATAATCGTCTGACTATTGACACTACTCGTCTCTGACTAGTTTTTGGCTGATCGATGTGTTAGACCACAACCATTCTTGTTGGACTATTGTTGCCCCATCAACGTAGTAACTATATCTATGGTCATCAAACAGCTTCTACGACTATCAACAATGTTATTGGAACACCATTGTGTTGGACAACTATTGTCGGGCTGCTAACATGCTACACTATTATTGTCTGACGCAATCACATGACCAATATTGTATGGTGATCACTGGATACTGCTAATACGCACAGTACAACAATAATTCAGATTATATTTCACTTATATTTCCTTACTTTGCAACAAAACCAAAAACTTGATCCTGAAGAAAAATAAGAATTTAACTTTTAATTTACATATATTAGGATACTATGCAAGTCTATGTATTGTTATCAAATAATATATGACTTTTTGATTAAGACCTGAATATCGAACCCACAGGGAGAATACGCAATATGCACTATTGAACAACAAACTTTCTATTTTTAATAAAAAGATAATTATCTAAATTAAAGATGATTTTTGTAGTAATAAAAATTTAAATATTTTTGGTATTTCAATATTTTGATAGAACAATAACAATTTAAAAAGATAACTAGAGTTTTTGTAGAAGAAAAGCACGAAATATGAAAATATCTTTTTTCTTGTTATGAATCAGTAATAAGTATAAAAATTCTGTTGTGGAAGCATGCAAATTGTGTTGTGCTAAATAGGAGCAATAATATTCATTTATTCTTATTAGAGATGATATAAATAACATTGGCTAATTTAAAGTTTGAATAGTTCTGAAGACCGGCTAGGTAGGGAAGATACTTGCTCTCTCTCTAGAGTTCCCTCGATTCCCTCCACTTGGGGGCTAACATCTTGTATCAGAACCTAAAATAATAAAGAACCTAAAACAATAAACCAAGTTGGGGGATTTAACCAGTCACTTTAAAGTCCTCTAACTCTACACCCTTCAATGAAAATTTCTCTATTATTTTCACTCAATCAAATGAACTACATTCTCATTCATACAACCTTATGTGATTCTGAGACAATACTGACTGAGACAATACCAACCCGGTTCTTACATGTTTTCATAACTAGTTTTAACATCTGGATTCAAGAAGTAAATGATGTGCATAGATTTAAATCATCACAACTTCTTCCACATTGAGATCAATACTTTCCACAACTTCTGTCCAAAACTTAATTACCTATCATTTTAAGAAGAAAGACTATCATTTTAAGAAGAAATCCATGGAGAAAACAAAATCACACTTTAGTTTAAAAGTATAAATCATTGTCAAACCAACAACAAGTCTCAATTAAACCCAAAAGTAGTCTCAAAACAAAAAGATAAAAGCTTATCTCAAGTCCACCACCAAACACTTGAAGTTCCTTTGATTCTCTTCTCTTTACAATCACTTAAAATAAAATAAAAAAAAGGATAAAATAAAAGTAAAAGTGGTTCCTAAAATTCTCTCCGAACCAACTTCCCAAATGAGAACTTTCAAAACTTTCCAATACTTTCAGAACTCTTTTATAATCCCCTATTCTTTATTTTATAATTTTCCAAAAGGTGCCTTGGTTTCTCTTGAAAATATGCCTAGATTCAATGTATTTCCCCAAGAAATGCATCATTTCATGATAATTTTCATCTATGGTGGTTATAACAATCTATTAAGCCAATGAGTGCCTCAAAAACCTCTTCAAAATTCATAGAAACCGAATTCACTCATCCAATAACTGCCACTGACGCTTAAGCGCGGGGCCTCTAGCGCTTAAGTACGGCCTTCTCTGTTTAATAGGCGCTTAAGCACCAGATCTGACGCTTTTTTACTCCAAATTTGATCATTTTTCACTCCTTTAAGCATTTTTCACCATTTTTACCTGTATCTGCAAGAAAAACACAAAAATACCTTCCATTAAAGTGCAATATCTAAAAAATAGGTATAAAAATATGTCTAAAAATACTATATTTTAAGTGTACCAAAATCTCCAAAACTTAAAATGTTACTTGTCCTCAAGTGACACTTCAATCTTTAAAAACTAAATATGTATGATATTTATATGAGTTTCTTTAGGAGTTACTAAAATTTTGATTTAGAAATATAGCAGTCTAATTTAGAAAAAATATTCAGTAAATGAGACCAACTTAAAGTTTAGAAATTTTTAATGTTAAGAAAGATGAAAATATGAGTTTCTATCTATTGCAAAAATATATTGTAGATTTTCCAAATTTAGAATTTAATTCTTTTATTGTCTCCACTTAAAAATTTTTATTAAAAATAATTTTACTTACTATATTATATCTATAAGCTTAAGAGTTTCTCAAGTCTTATACTTTAAAAAGATCAAATGTAGAACCAATTTTTGATTAGGCACTAATACTTAAGTTTCTCCTTCCTAATTTTTTTGTCTCTTTTTCTTTTTCTTTTTCTTTTCTTTTTTTCTTTTCTTTTTCTTTTTTCAGGCAAGGATTACTATATCTAGATAGACCTTTAATGATTTTGAATTCCACTTCTCCTTTCCTAAAGCAAAGTCTTGATATAAGTCTTTTACTTATAAATATAATAACAGTTTTGAAAATATTTTAATAAGGGAAATTTAAGTATTAAAAATAAAAGTCTA